AATAATTTATCGACTAAAATATATTTTTAGTTGTTTAACTTTACACAAGATTTCAGTTTGATTTTTTTACTTTAAAAATATATATTTTTAATTATTTAACCCTAAACTATTAATAAAAGATAATGATATTGAAATTTTGAATGTTGATTATATTTTTAAATATTTAACATATTAAATTTTATTTTCAAAATCACTATAATTTTATAGTTTAATGGCTAAAATGTATTTTTTTTAAAAAAACTAAGAGATCAAACTAAAATTTTATATAAAATTAACAAAACATGTATATATTTTAGCCTAATTTATGTGACTTACTTGTAAAATAAGTTTTTTTCCTTTCAATTGAGAAACCTATTTGAAAATTTTCTCAATGGATCATAATGTTTCGCATTCATATAATACTACCTCCAATCCTAAATATAAAAGCTAGTTGATTAATTTAAGTAGATTAAGAAAATAAGTTAAGGTAGTTATTGTAATAAATAAGTGTTTTTTTCTAAAATATCTTTGCTAATCAAATGTATTGACTATTTTGATATATAAACATAAGAAATAAAATAGATTGAGATTTTATATTTAAGATTAAAATAAAATCCAAACGAAATCTTATATTATATTAAAGACTGTGGTATGAAACCCTGATGAGCTCTGGGATGAAATAACAAACAAGGGCCCTTCCCTCGTCCAGCCATTTTCAGGATCAGGATCTTTTTAGAGTCCTTATCTTAGCAGCCCTTAGAAGCTTAAAATCACATCCTTTCAGTTGATCTCGGCGCTCAGAAATCAGACACGTCATGGGGGATTTAAAATAGCATCTCGACCGTCCATATCATTATCATCCTAGCCATCCATGTTTGATTCCTTTAAACCAGAAGCCGTTTGACATTCTTCAAGCTGAGTTTGGCGGGAACACTTCACACAAGTCGCAAGTAAACTGGTTCTTCTGCCATGAAATAGATATACTTGGATGATGTGATTTCATGGCCATTAGCTATTCCAGTTGCCTGTTTCTGCAATTAGCAAGACTCTATTTAACTTTTTAAAGGTAGTCCAAGTAGAGGAGTTGCCGATTTTGAGGAGAGGGTTCAACAATTAGAGTCTTCATTCCAAGAGACAAAGTAAGATGAAAATAACCAATTGTTTGTATGAAAGATGATACTCCTCCGGTCCTTAATATAGGATCCAATTGTTGAGTTAGTTTTAGTCCTAAATATAAGACCTATTTCTTATATTTATCAATTTTCTCTAAATTACCCCTATGGATATTCTCTCAACCATAATCAAGTAGAAGAGGGAGATGAGGTATTAAGAAAGATGATTATGGTGTTTTAGGAAAAATGTGTCACATTTCTTATAATTAACTAACTTACCTAACTTCCTTAATCTAATCAAATTAGTTAAATGAGTCTTATATTAAGGATCGGAGGACTATCTTTTTTTAATTTTTTTCATAGCTAGTGTCATTCTTGATTTTAAAAGGAAATGAACTTATGGGTTAAAAAAAATTTAACAGTGCAATGCCACGAAACTTTTCTTGTATATCTTATTCCTATTTTTTACTCTTTGGTTTTGTCTAGAAGTATAATAGTTTCATCCATATTTAAATTTTTATTTATTTAGAATGTTGCTTGAAGTTAATGCAGGCATGAATCAAATGATGAGGCTGTTCTGCGCAATAAGCTACTTTTCTCCCACTGAAACGCTGAAACAAACAGGCCCAGTGTCCGACGGTAGTTTCTGATGAGCATGAGCTGTCGTTGTCGAGCGGGGCTAGAGGCATGAAGCACTGTCTTCTCAGATGGCCAGGGATTTGGCTGAAAGCTGATAATAAACAAACGGTTGAGATTATAAGGAAGCCAACGATAGAGATGCAATTTTAGACGCTGGATGATGTGTCCCAATTTTGAGCGTCGAGATCAACTGATCGGATGTGATTTTAAGCTTCTGAAAGCCGCTTGAGAATAGGACGCTGAGAAGATCCGGATCCCCATTTTCGCTGTTTTAATCTTACCCCTCTGTCTCGGTTCTACTTCGTTATCATCAACAACAATCCGCCATTTCAGAAACTGTTTCAAAGAAGCATTTTCACCATTTCAGAAATCGAAGCCATTGCCGGCAAAATCTAAGGCATTACCTCTCAGAAAGCATTTTCGCCGTTTCCTCCATCTCATTTGCCACTCCCTGCGAAAACTAAGGCGTTACTGTATTCTCTTGCAACGGTGGAAGGGGGGAAGCAGGCGCAATAATTATTTAATTAGTCTAAAAAGGAAATTATGATGTATGTAATAGGTCTTGAAATAAATTTGATGTACTTTTAAGAATACAGGCCAACCCCCACAGGTTGAAGGTTAGCCCTATGATCGGTTGGACTTATATGGGTTAGGCTAGAAATGGCTATTTGAAGACGGGTTGACCAACCAGTCAAAGTGGGTTGACTGGTTGGCTTATTTACTTTTTTTATTTTATCTTTTAATATTTTTTTCTTATTCAACATCTCAAAAAATATAATAAGATTTTTGTTTTTTCTTGAAATATTTGATTGAAAGCGTCAAATAAATTATATAGATTTTTAAAAATTTTTTATATAGAATATAATCTATAATAACATAATTATAATAATTTTTAAAAAATTTTAAAAATAAAAAATAAATGGTCTTTAGCCCGCAGGTTTGCGGGCTAATCCACTACAGGTTGTGGGTCTGGTGACATGGGTTAGAAAGATTTCTAACTTTTAACCAATCCTAATCTGACATTTTTATGGGTTGCACCCACAGGTTATTACCAGCTTTTTTTTAAATGTTAAATTTTACAATCTGTGATTTTTTAGCAAGTTTTTCAATTTAAAATCAAGTTTCAATAATTTATATTTTGAAGTTATCTAATAATAATTTATCGACTAAAATATATTTTTAGTCGCTTACCACAAGGTTTCACTTTGATCTTTTTACTTTAAAAATAAATATTTTTAATTATTTAACTCTAAACCATTAATAAAAGATAATGGTATTGAAATTTTGAATGTTGATTAAATATTTTTAAATATTTAACATATTAAATTTTATTTTCAAAATCACTATAATTTTATAGTTTAATGGCTAAAATGTATTTTTTTAAAAACTAAGAGATCAAACTAAAATTTTATATAAAATTAACAAAACATGTATATATTTTAGCCTAATTTATGTGACTTACTTGTAAAATAAGTTTATTTTTCTTTCAATTGAGAAACCTATTTGAAAATTTTCTCAATGGATCAAAATGTTTCTCATTCATATAATACTAACTCTGGTTCTAAATATAAAAGCTAGTTGATTAATTTAAGTAGATTATGAAAATAAGTTAAGATAATTATTGTAATAAATAAGTGTTTTTTGCTAAAATATCTTTGCTAATCAAATGTATTGATTATTTTGAAAAAAAATATAAACATAAGAAATAAAATAAATTGATATTTTATATTTAGGATTAAAATAAAATTCAAACAAAATATTATATTATATTAAGGATTGTGGTATAAAACTTTGACGAGCTCTGAGATGAAATAACAAACGAGGGCCCTTCACTCGTCCAGCCATTTTCGAGATCAGGATCTTCTTAGAGTCCTTATCTTAGCGGCCCTCAGAAGCTTAAAATCACATCCTTTCAGTTGATCTCGGCGCTCAGAAATCAGACACGTCATGGGGGATTCAAAATAGCATCTCGACCGTCCATATCATTATAATCCTAGCCATCCATGTTTGATTACTTTAAACCAGAAGCCACTCCTTTAAAAGTAGTCCAAGTGGAGGAGTTACCAATTTTGAGAAGAGGGTTTCAACAATCAGAGTCTTCATTCCAAGAGGCAAAGTAAGATGAAAATAACCAATTGTCTGTATGAAAGATGGTATCTTTTTTGAATTTTTTTCATAGCTAGTGTCATTCTTGATTTTAAAAGGAAATGAACTTATGGGTTAAAAAAAATTTAACAGTGCAATGCCATGAAACTTGTCTTGTATATCTTATTCCTATTTTTTACTCTTTGGTTTTGTCTGGAAGTATAATAGCTTCATCCATATTTAAATTTTTATTTATTTAGAATGTTGCTTGAAGTTAATGCAGGCATGAATGAAATGATGAGGCTGTTCTGCGCAAAGCCATAGTGTCCGACGGTAGTTTCTGATGAGCATGAGCTGTCGTTGTCGAGCGGGGCTAAAGGCATGAAGCACTGTCTTCTCAGATGGCCAGGGATTTGGCTGAAAGCTGATAATAAACAAACAGTTGAGATTATAAGGAAGCCAACGATAGAGATGCAATTTTAGAAGCTGGATGATGTGTCCTAATTTTGAGCGTCGAGATCAACTGAAAGGATGTGATTTTAAGCTTCTGAAAGCCGCTTGAAAATAGGACGCTGAGAAGATCCGGATCCCCATTTTCGCTGTTTTAGGGTGTGTTTGGATAAAAACCAAACCATGGTTTCAGAAGTGCTTTTACAGATTACGAAGTAAATATGTGAAGAAGATTATCTCGTTTTGCAGAAAAGTGCTTCTGAAACTATGGTTTTGAGATATCCAAACAGGCCCTTAATCTTACTCCTCTGTCTCGGTTCTACTTCGTTATCATCATCAACAACAATCCACCATTTCAGAAACTGTTTCAGAGAAGCATTTTCACCATTTCAGAAATCGAAGCCATTGCCGGCAAAATCTAAGGCATTACCTCTCAGAAAGCATTTTCGCCATTTCCTCCATCTCATTTGCCACTCCCTGCGAAAACTAAGGCGTTACCGTCTTTTGGAACGGGAAATCGCCGCTGTCGATGAAGGGGAAACTTTAGCCGTTGTTGGAGGAGGCCGCCGTTGCCATCGTTCGCCTGCATCACGCCGTCGGAGCACAACGTGCGGAAGAGGTACCATCGATATAGACACAGGAGTGTGGATGAAAAAGACCAAAGCTTGACTGACGTGGGCAAATTGAGAGGTCTATCTTAGGGAGTGTGGAATCGACTTCCATCAATTTTGACGGAACTGGGGTGGGATTTGTGGAAGTGGGATTGAAGCTCATCAAACAAGCTCCTAAGTGGATCCCAGGTACACTTCCACTGCTGCACTCCTCAATTCCAGTATACCAAACAGGACATCAACTTAAGATGGATATGACTGAATAATTCCCTCGTTCATTGTTCCACAGCAGTTAGTATTGGTTTCTAGTTCTTGGGACAAAATATATGCTCCGCTTATTGAGTTACATTCGAATTGTAATGATTGAATATGCAGTTAAACTTGATTACCATTTTCTATGTCGGTTTCGTTATGCGTGAGTTTAATTGTAATTTTATTTTAAATCCGTGTTCGAGCACTCTGAATTACATCTTCCTGCAGGTCAAATACAACAGTTGGATACCATTTAGCACCTTATTGAACATAATCGAACCAGCTTGGTCTCCACTTCTTCTAGCTTTGTGCTGAGAGTGATTGGAGTGTTCGGTTCTCTTGTCCATTGTACTTCACTTCGCTTTAGTCAGCTTTAGGATGCTTGCAGGTGTCTCTTCTTCTCTCTCTATATTTCAATGTGTGGTTGGTTGCCTTTTGTCGATGGAACCTGATTACTTGATGAATTATCCAGCGGTGTAAAGTAGATGTTTCTAATTTTCAGGTTTTATTTTTAAGTTGGACTTAGAAAGTGGAATATTTTTAATTTTTTTTTTTCACTCTTTCCAAAATTTAACATAACCAATAGACTATTCAAAAAGCTTATCAAGAAAACAAAATTGTACAGGTAGTGAAACACCGTCTGCCCAATTTCTTGGTACTTTGATTATATAGAATTCAAAAGCAATATTTTATCGTTCTGTTGAAACTTGTAAAACCATGATCTTGTTTATTGATTAGTTTGAATGGAGAAAACTAGAAAATGGTTCTTCTAATTGACTGTTCTAGTCCCCACTGATGGCTACTTGGATTCTTAGGAATTGTAAATGCCCCTCATTAGCCTGTACGGAGCTGAATTCTATTACAATAAATTTTGCGCTTAAATATTGACTTCACATAATTTTCTGCATATTTCTTGGTACATGTATGATCAATGTGTCTGGCCAGCAATTTGAAGATACTATGATGCTTTTTGACCTTACTGATTTCCGGCAAAGCAAATGGGAAAATAATTTCTGATGACTGAATAGAATGAATACTAGGTATTTATATACAAAGAGTGAAGCTATCCTAGGAAGGGCGTTTAATTTAATGTGCTGGATACAAATATCAAAACTTAAGTGATTGATAATCCCTTGATTGTATCCCTTAATCTAGAATCAAGTAAAAAAACAATAATAACAACAAATCGTGGGAATATTTACTGAATAATTACAATATCTAACAATTTCAAACACGGTAGATATACTTTCCTTGACATGTCGTTCTTCTTTCTGCAGGTTCTACCACTGGAAGTTACTTGCAACTTAGGGTTGCCAATTTTCCCAAAAGGCAAATTCTTATACTCTGGGTCACTGTTAGCTGATTATATGTATTTTGATGCTGACTGGAATAAAGTACTATTCAGATGGTATAACATATTATCTGTGCAGGCCTGGGAGGGGGAAAATACAATGTTCCAGACCTCATTTCCGTGTGAAATATGAAGTTTCTTGCAATTTTACCCAATCAGATAATGATCCAAGATCACAAAATGTACTTGTGAAAGACCAACCTTTAGTTAAGATGTGTGGCATCACATCAGCTAAAGATGCAGCTATGGCAGCCGAAGCTGGGGCTAATTTTATTGGAATGATCTTGTGGCCAAAATCAAAACGTTCCATCTCTCTTTCTGTGGCAAAGGAGATCTCAAAAGTCGCAAGAGAATATGGAGCACGTCCTGTGGGTGTATTTGTGGACGATGATGCAGAAACAATATTAAGAATTTCTGAAGGAGCTAACCTTGAATTCGTGCAGGTATATTTTCGTCTGACCTTGATGTGTAATCCATGCTTCTCAATTAAATGCTTGATCTCATAATATCTGGAAAACGCAGCTTCATGGGCATGGTTCTCGGGCAGCTTTTCCATCTTTGATTCAGGAAAATCGTGTAATATATGTTCTTCATGCAAATGAAGAGGGAAGCCTGTTAAACACAATTTCTGATGAACAATGCTCTCTAGTTGATTGGGTGCTTGTAGATAGTGCAACGGGTGGCAGGTAAAATTGAACTTCTTATATTGCTTATGTGGGATAATTTGACCCTCTCCCAGCAATCAAATAGGATTCAGTTTGTCTCTTCTAATATATTATATATCTTTACTATTATGAATGTTGAACAAATTATATAGTGATATTATTTAACTCCTCATGAGATGTATTTACAGTGGCAAAGCATTTGATTGGGCAAAGTTTAAACTACCAACAATTGGAAGCAAGCATGGTTGGCTACTGGCAGGAGGGATCAATCCTGACAACGTATCAGAGGCTTTATCTGCTCTTAAGCCTCAAGGGGTAGATGTTAGTAGTGGAATTTGTGCATCAGATGGCATCCAGAAGGATCAATCAAGAATAACTTCCTTCATGAAGGCGGTGCATTCTGTTCAGTACTAATTAACCTCAGATCATTTTGATCTTCGAGACAGCACATTAATAAGGTTCAGGATTTAATGAGCAGAGAGTATACAATTTTCATATTGATTTGGGTATTTTTGGGACTCATGAACTAGAGAAGTACATTTCTCAAACAATTATGTTGAGAACGTTAACGCCCAAGCACAATAATAAAAAGCTAAATGACTGCCATTCTAGTTCCCACCCAAAATTTCAAGCCTGATCAGATCAGAGGGTTGAATTATTTGAAGTTAGATAGGCTTGCGGATATCGTGTTTCCCCTGCGTGAAGAGTTTTGATGAGGGTTTTCAAAGTGACCCCTAGCCTGGGGGCTCCGTCTTACCCGGCCAATTCGCGTGGGGACGTGCCAGCCCGATTAAAGGCAAGGGACAAGGCAGCTCCTTTCCCTGCCCACGACCTGCAAAGGCAGCATGTTCTCTCTTTTTGGGACCGGCTACGGGCAAGGGCTTAGGACGGTTCATCTTTGCCTGTGCGTTAGTATAATCGTGATTCCCAATCTTACTCTCCTGTAACATGTAAGGCGGGTGTTAAGAGTTTTCTCCATAGCATCATTTGGATCCTCACCATATTTTTTCTCCATACATGCAATCCCATCCTATCCATTTGATTTAATGGTTATGCATTTATTATTATCACTTGAATGCTCTTGAAAACAAGATCATAATATTTATTAATGATATTGATCAAATAAATATTATATTTAGTTTAATGTCACGATTACATTCTAACTCTCCCCTACACACACACGCACAAAGCAGAGATGGATTATAATTCTCTTACTAAAAAGAAATATTTATTCATTTATTGTATCTTTCAATCAGTCTCTGGGAGAACATTTCTCCCATCGCCTGGCATTGAAGCACACAACAGACAGCTCATATACAGGAATTTGAAGATAAAAGAAGTTACATGTCCAGTTTGGAGCACTAATGCAATATTTGAGAGATAATGACTAATATGTCGTAATAAAAGAATTTCAATTGCAACCTTTACTCACAGAATAGACTAGTGGACTTCATCTGTTATTAAACTTGTGTACTTTGAACCAATAAAGATCAGGTGAAAGCACACGCCCGCCTAACCATCCAACACAAGTGCGTCGACGTTTCGCTTTCCTTCAGGACCTTTGGTGTACCATGACGACACATAGTCCCCATAAACAACTCCCCTGTATTTTGGTGGCGAAGATTCCCCAAGCAGTTCAGATGCAGGGGATATCTTGACTGTCTTAGCAGGATCATGAAATGTTGCTACAGAGAGCCTTGCTCGGTTAGAATTGGTAATGGCCCTATGCTCACAACTCCTGTACTTCCCATTTGTGATAATCTGTAGACAAAGGAATTTTCCTTTAGCAAGAAACTGTTTGATATCACAAGTTTGTATAGCAATTTCAGTTTCATTAATGAATATATCTACCCACTACCAAGCTACATGCTGGAATTCCATTCCATACCCACAACTTGTACAATAGAATGGAAAAGAGTGAAAAGAAGTAGTAGGAAAACAATACTTCTCTTTTATAGGAAGCATCAATCAACCAGAAACATCCCAATAGGATATGGGTACCTGTTCCAACATCTATTTTGACCATTTTTGTTCTGGACAATACTTACATCAAATTTCTTATATCTATTGTGTCAAATTCTTTAATCACATATGATCATGTGCCCTATTTTTCAAATATTAGCATTTAGTAGCATTTAACTATAAATTCACATGGAACAAAAAAAGACACTTGGCCATATGTAATTAGAAAACTTGACATAATGGACATGAGGAACTTGACCTAAATTTTTTCCTTTTGTTCTGATACATTTTTAAATACAATAACATGAAATGACTCAAAAGATAACAGACTGAAGATTTTCATTTATTTTAAACTTGAAATTCATGCCTTAATTTGCTTTATGTTTCTACTGGTAGATAAGGCGACCCCACCTAGTGGGATAAGGCTTGTTGTTTGTTTGTTTGTTTGTTTCTACTGGTAGATAAGTTGCAAACATATGTTTTTCATGCGCTAATTTGTTAAATCTATGTACATTGTATTCATCTCTCTTTTGAAGAAGACTGTATTTCACATATCGGATAACGTCCACCCAATTTCCCAGATCAATGGTCTAAGTAGTATTTTGAGGCCTGAAGGCCATGGTAGTGGTTTAAGGCCTATGGACATTCCAGAGACAACAGTAATGAATCTAACCTTATCTTTATGAATCTTTACAGGTCAACTCAAAACATTCAATGCAAAATCACAGATTAACTTAACTTTTTTCTTTGGCAACCATTCCCAAACCCCCCCCCCCCCAAAAAAAAAAAAAACCACCCAAAACAAACAAGTGAAGAAATTCATTTTAAGAAGGGTAGGGAGACAACCTTCAAGTATGAGTCAAGTACTCTTCATCCATACGCTCTAAAGAGACTACTCTATAGCCAATATCCAAAAGGGCTTTTCAGTTATCAGTATCCAATCAATCCCAGAATAAGTTAATTAGTTAAGATTTTTCCAAAAGAAGGATGTTTTGAATTGGAACTTCATTGTAACCGGCGCTTCCACATACAATGAGGCATAAGTGTCCAGAGTAACACATAGATAGCTCACAGCAGCCTGTGGTATCAATGTCCATACAACTACCACAAGGAATTTTCATACTCGAGGCAAGAAGACGCTGTTTAATATACAAAACAGATAACTCACGTTGGCAAAAGGATCCCAATCCAAATGAGCTATCACATGATCAAGTTTTAGTTGATATAAAAGAATACACAAGATATCACCCCAAAAGAAAAAAGAATACTCAAAATTCTAGATCAATTTCACAATGTCAATAGTTATACTGATTTTCGGCCGCCACAAACTATCTCAGCGCTCAAATTAAAGCGTAACCAAACTAAATGAGAAGGATTGGTGTTTACCTCAGTTTGATCAGCCAATAGAACGAGAATGGCCTCAGAGAGAGGCTTCACGGTCACCCATTTGGCACCATCCTTGAGAACCTGAAGACCCCCCACATCGTCTTGGATCAGAAGCGTGATAGCACCCATATCAGAGTGAGACTGCAGACCAAGTGTGAGTTCGGGTTGAGGACATGGAGGGTAATAGCTGATAGTGATGTTCTGATAGAAATGCCCAACGGCGTCTTCAATGCACGATGACCGCAGGTCTAGACTCTCTGAGATTAGACCCAACAACTTCTGAGCCAGAATTTTCATTTCATCGCTGTACTTAGTGACGACTTCTCTGTAATCGGGAGGGAAGTTCGGCCAGCGAGAAGGGTTGCGACGAGATAGAGGCAAAGTGTGGTGATCGAAGTAATCCCTCCAATCCAAGATTTGAACCGCGTCGTTTTGCTGCTGCTCTGAGCTCTGAAGCATCCGACTTCCGTACCCTTCCGACGCGGCAGTACTGGAATCACATGCGTATCGGAGCTTCTCTGACATAGGGCAGTCGTTGAAGAAAGTGAGACCCACGCGTCTGATATCATCCAGAAGGCTGACCGGGATGCCATGGTTTGTGACATGAAAAGCGCCCCATTCCCGACAAGCCCGTCCGATTGCTTCCCGAGCCGAGTTTGTTTGATCAGGGTCGAACCCGAACAGATTGACTATCGGAATATCGGCATCGGAGGAGGCAAAGCTTGATGAAGTTGTGGCGGCGCGGCGATCATGGTGAATGGGTCGGTTCTCGGGGAATTGAATATACTGAGGTGGAACTTGACACAGACCTGATTGTGCTAGAGCTTGCACTCTGCTAAGGCCGCCGGAAACTTCCATTTGGGATATGGTGCCTTCAAAACCGTTAAGATGAAGAATGCAGCCAAAAAGGAAGAAGATGAATTTCGTTTTGTTACGAAAGTTTTGCCCCGAAGGTTGGAAGCCGCATCATAATCTCGACGCGGCGTAATAATGGTTTCCTTCTCTGGAAGTCAAAAATTATATTTCAGAGTAGAAGATAAATACAAGACAGACAATCAAGTTTCAAGAAAAAAAAAATTATTTAAAAAAAATCTTCATAACAACAAGGAAAAAAAGAAAGAAAAATATTACTTGAACTTCATAATTCACAAATAGTATACTGAATTTGAGAAATCCCAAGAGACCAAATTAGAATTATCATGTTAAAAGAAAAGACCAAATTGGAATTATCATGTTAAAAGAAAAGACCAAATTGTCCTTCATTTTAAATATTGTTTTCAAAATATCACAGCCCCCACTGACCGGCCAGTCGCCAGAGCTCCGGCGACTAACCAACAATTGGTCACCGGAGCTCCTCAGTCAAAAAAATTTTTTGTGAAAATTTTTACAACTTCAGTATAATGGTTAATAACTTTTGTAATGCTATTAACAATTTCAGTATAGCAGTTAGTAACAGATTTTCTGAGAAATTCAACAAGCTCCGGCAACCAGAAATAAATTTTTTGAAAATTTTTACAACTTCAATATAATCGTTAACAACTTTTGTAACGCTATTAACAACTTCAGTATATTAGTTAACAACAGATTTTTCGGAAAATTCAATAATTGGTCACCGGAGCTCCGACAGAGGAAAATAATTTTTTTTGAAAATTTTTACAATTTTAGTATAACGGTTAACAACTTTGATAACCCTATTAACAACTTCAGTATAGCGGTTAACAATAGGTTTGAGTTTGTTAACGGCATTACTGAAGTTATAAAAATGTCACTTTTTGAATTTTCTGAAAAACCTGTTGTTAACTGTTATATCGAAGTTGTTAACCGTTATACTGAAGTTGTAAAAATTTTCAAAAAAAAAAAACGTAATTGTTAACGCTATACTAAAGTTGAAAATTTTTACAATTTCAGTATAACAGTTAACAACTTTTATGATGCTATTAATAACTTCAATATAGCAGTTAACAATAGGTTTTTTGAAAAATTCAACAATTGATCGCCGAAGCTCCGATGGTCAAAAATAATTTTTTTGAAAATTCTTACAACGTCAGTATAACGGTTAACAGCTTTTGTAATGCTATTAACAACAGGTTTTTTGAGAAATTCAAAAAGTAACAATTTTACAATTTCAATAATGCCGTTAACAAGTTCTGTAACTCTATTAACAACTTCAATATAGCATTTAACAACATGTTCTCTTAAAAATTCAAAAAAAAAATGGCATTTTTACCACTTTAGCAACTACTTTTTTTCAAAAAAAAATTTTTTACAATTTCAGTATGACCGTTAACAACTTTTTTAATGTTATTAATAACTTTAGTATAGTAGTTAACAACAAGTTTTCCGAAAAATTTAAAAAGTAGTATTTTTACAATTTCAATAATATCGTTAACAAATTAACTTTATTAACAATTTCGGTATAACATTTAACAATAAGTTTTCTTAAAAATTCAAAAAAATGGCATTTTTATAACTTTAACAATTACGTTTTTTTAAAAAAAAATTTACAACTTCAATATAACGGTTAACAACTTTTATAACCCTATTAACAATTTCAGTATAGCAGTTAACAACAGGTTTTTGAATTTGTTAACAACATTACTGAAGTTATAAAAAATGCCACTTTTTGAATTTTCTAAAAAACCTGTTGTTAACTGTTATACTGAAATTGTTAATAGAGTTACAAAAGTTGTTAACCGTTATACTGAAGTTGTAAAAATTTTCAAAAAAATTGTTTTCCTCCGCCGGAGCTCCGGCGACCAATTGTTGAATTTTCTAAAAAATCTGTTGTTAATTGATATATTGAAATTGTTAATAGCATTACAAAAATTGTTAACGGCTATATTGAAGTTGTAAAAATTTTCAAAAAAATTGTTTCCGATCGCCGGAGCTTGTTGAATTTTCCAGAAAACCTATTATTAATTGCTATACTGAAGTTGTTTTTAGCATTATAAAAGTTGTTAACTGTTATAGTGAAGTTGTAAAAATTTTCAAAAAAAAAAAGTGGGGGCTGTGATATTTTAAAAACAATATTTAAAATGAAGGGCAATTTGGTCTTTTTATTAACATGATAGTCTCAATTTGGTCTCTTGGGATTTCTCAAATTTAGCAGACTATTTGGAGATTATGAAGTTCAAGTGGCATTTTTCTTTTTTTTTCCCCCTAACAACAATGAAAAATTTTCAAATTAAAAATAACAATTTTTAAATTTATTTTGAATTTTTTTTGAGACCTTATTGTCATTCTCCACCAATATAAATATAAAGCAAAAGTAGCATTCAGTATATTCTTACGTCTTCTTTTTTGCCAACATTTTCCCTACATATGAGTAACTCATGCTGTTGATTTTATTGACAAAAAATATTTACATTGAGTTATCCAAAAATAAAATTGACATTAAACTTTTAAATATTGACCAAATATTTTTAAACATTAAGATTAATTTTTAAAATAATAATGATCAGCATAAAAATGCATAATTTGAATCTAATGGTATTAGAACTAAAAAAAATTGAAAATATACTCTCTACAATTAAAGGTGAAAACTCAGCAACAAAAACAATAACAACAACAAAGCCTTATCCCATTAGATGGGGTCGACTACATAGATCACACGGTGTCATTGAGCCCTATCCAAAGCTAAATCTTTGGATAGGTTGTTAATTGAAAGATTTCTCCCAATGACTTCTTTAAGCGTTGTTTTCGGCCTTCCTTTACTTCTTTTTAGAGAACTCCATACTGTTTGCTTAACTCTTCTTACCGGCGCGTCCCAAGGTCTTCTTTGCACGTGACCAAACCATCTCAATCAGTTTTCTACCATTTTCTTATCAACAGCAGCCACTCCAACTTTTCCTCTTATTTGTTCATTACGAATCTTATATTTTCTTATATGACCACACATCCATCTCAACATTCTCATATCAGCAACTGCCACTTTATGTTCACGTTATCCCTTTAAAGCCCAACATTCACTACCATATAGCATTGCCGGTCTTATAGCAGTGCTGTAAAACTTTTCTTTGACCTTATTTGGTACTTTTCGATCACAGATAACTTTTGTCACTTTTCTCCATTTAAGCCACCCGGCTTGAATTCTATGATTAATATCTCCATCAATTTTCCCATCTTTTTGTGTAATTGCTCCCAAATATTTAAACTTTTCCACTTGTTGAATGACATGGTCTCCCAATTTGACCTCTAACTTTGTACTAACTTGTCTCTTATCAAAACTACAATACATATATTTTTTCTTGCTTCTACTCAAACGGAAACCCTGCGATTCCAAGGTTCTTCTCCATGTCTCAAGTTTAGTGATAATCTCTTCTTTTGACACAACCAATAAAACTATATCATCAGCAAAAAGCATGCATTTCGGGATTTCTTTTTTGATATGCTCAGTTAGAACATCGAGGACTAGGTTAAACAGATAAGGGCTTAGAGATGATCGCTGATGTAAGCCAATCTTTATAGGAAAGTTCTTTGTCTCGCCGCATGGTGTTTTAACACTAGCTGCGACCCCCTCATATATGTCTTGTATGATTTTAATATAAGCGATATGCACCCCTTTCTTCTTCAAGACTCTCCAGAGCACTTCTCTGGAAACACGCCGTAAGCTTTTTCCAAATCAATAAAAATCATATGCAAGTCTCTTTTATGGCTTCAATACTTTTTCATTAAGCCCCTTAGTAAATAGATCGCTTCTGTTGTCAATCTTCCTGGCATGAACCCAAATTGGTTTTCAGAAATATAAGTCTCTAATCTCAACCTATATTCTTGGGCAATATGCCAAATAATTAGATTCAAAACAAGATTCTTACTCTAGAGACTGAGCTTTTTGCCTTCTTCCATAATTTCATGATATAACTCATGAGTTTAATTCTTCTATAACTAGCACATGTCTTGACATAAAAGTGAAAACTCAAACTTTATATAAATTTTAAAGTACAGCAGCGTATGATGTGATCCTTGATGGGATATTTATAAGACACCTTTATTAAAAAAAATAATAAATTCATTTAAAATTGTGATTATATATATATATATATATATATAAGAATTAAATTTAGTGTACTTTTGAATTCATAAATGTGTGTTGGTTCAAACTTACATTAATAATGTTACCCAGTGAGGCCAATCGAATTTCTTCATGACAATCCAAAATTGTGGAATTCATGCTAGAGAAGGCCTGTACTTAATTAGTTGCAGATGACTTGCTCGATCAATTTTAGATTCCAGCATCCAACGTTTTGCAGTAACAAGTTCGCCACAAAACTAAGGTATGAGGGGAGGGTGGGAAGGAGAGGATTTTTTTTGGAGGAGTTTATTCTTACCTTATTTGATTTGATTAAAAAGAAGAAAAAAAGAGAGATATTTAATATGTTTAGTTCAAGAGGGGAAGGAGGAGGAGAGTAATAATCAATTAACCATTTTACTTTTACATATTAGTTTATATTTTTTTTATTAATATGTTATATAAATTCATTTACATCTTAATTTAAATTATATAATTTAATAAAAATTCAGTATTATCATGTTAATATGTGCGTTAAAAAATTGGTGCAGTAATTTTTTATTCTAATTAATATAAGAATATATTTGAAACAATCAAATTAACAAATTTTATATGCTCTAAAAAAAATAAAATTTTACTTTCTTTAGGCTATGCTTTTTTTTTCAGCTTTAAAATATATTGAATAAATAATATATTTATAAAAACAATTAATTTTATAATATTATAATTTTTTATTTTAATTAATTTTTATGATAATATATTTTTTAATCACAATAATTTGTATTTTTTTATTTTTTACTTAAGATAGTATATTTTTCATTTGAAATAAATATTATAATAATATATTTTATGGGTAGTAGTGAAATACCAAAAAAAAAAAACATAAGGATATGATGGTCTAAAAATTTAACTCCTTATTAAAAACCCTCAATTTGGGAGGAGCTAAAATGGAGG